ACTTAAAATGAACCTGATGAAGCCTTAAGTCATGTTTAACAAATGTGTGGCCCTCTGCCTGTTGAATTCAATGGACTTAGGGTTGAAGAAGGGGTAACTTTGAATCTGTGAAATTAACAGTAGAGTAGAAACGACATGAGGCACTTCTGGAAGATTGAAAATTTTCTTAACCGTGGAATTGATCGTTTGTAACAAAAAAGCTTCGATCACTGCGTCGTCCCGAAGTACCATGGTGACACAGTGTCTAAGAAACCGAGTGCAAACTGGACCCTGAGCTTTGATAATGCCGAGTTCGATTTTTGTAGCTGACAGTCTTTGTCCCTGGGCAAGGAATTTACCACATGTTGATTCAGACAAGTGTTATTCGGTCGGTAAAGAATCGGACTCTAAAGAAACGGCAAGGTACTGGGTTCGAGCCGCGGTCTGAGCGGTCACTCATCTCTTCCTTCCGAGGTTAATGAATCAGTCCCACTCTGATAAATTAGGGGAACGAAACAGGAGAATCCAAACTATGCTGGTTCAGCGGATATGGAACTAGTATAGTGACTGGAACTCCAGTCCTAGCTTATGACATGGAAATGGAAATCAGCGCCCCAATGATGAACTTCTTGAAAACCAGGGTACTATAGCTTCATCCATGTGATTAAGACTATTCCAATAATTACAACCTTACCTTCCTCTTGAAACATGAACCTTAATCATGAGAGACTACGTAGCCCAGCGTGAAATAAATGTATTTTGGGAATAAGAAGAAAAGATATGAAGACAAGTGAATGAGTCAAAACAGACGAGTCTGTGATGTCTTTGCCCGAATGAACAAATTAAAGTGGCAATGGAAAGAAAACGTTGCAAAAAGAACGGACCATCGTTGGAGCAGAAGGATATCTGACTGGGTTTCAAGACGGAGTAAACCACGTGAGGAAGACCTCTAGATCGATGGCAGGAGAGCTGAAGAAGTTCACAGGATCAAGGTGATAAGAATCGCAGGAAACTGCAGTTTACGGTAAAGAAGTTTTGAAGATGCTTTCGTACAGCATTGGATCGAAAAC